GGCACCTTAGAGACTAACAAATTTATTTGAGCATAAGCTTTCATGGGCTACAGCCCACTTCACTGGATGCATAGAATGCAACACATACTGAGAAGATATATATATACACATACAGAGAGCATGAAAAGGTGGGAGTTGTCCTACCAACTCTAAGAGGCTAATTAAGTAAGAGAGAGAGAAAAAAGTAAGAGAAAAAACTTTTGTAGTGATAATCAAGATAGCCCATTACAGACAGTTGGACAAGAGGTGTGAGAATACTTAACATGGGGAAATAGATTCAATGTTTGTAATGTACTAGCTACTTGTATCACTTGTGCCATTGCATCTTTTAATCCCAGAACAATGACAGTTTCTAAAGGCACTGCCTCTTCTCTATCAGGGGCTGGTACTAACAGAGGAGAGGATTTTTCCTCCCCCTTTGCTTTGCTCATCTTCTCTTTTGCATTACTAGCTGCTTTTTCTATGACCCTCATCTCCGCCTCTTGTGGTGCCACCTCAGGGCTTCCTTTTCCTATCTGCAGACTGCCGGTAGCTTCTGCACAGCCAACTTCCTTCTGACTCTCCTCTCCAACTACGCTTCTAAAGGTACTGTACCAGCCTGAGCTAATTCTCTTGCCCTACTTCTAGTTGTTGGCCCTGTAGGTTTTTCTACCTCTGTCAGTTCCACCATACTGTACCTTTATCCTCCTCTACCACATCTTCTCCCCTTTCTAATTCTTTAATCTTTTCCAACATCCGACCACGGTCTACTCAATAGGCCACCAGCATTTGCTGAGCTTCCCTGAGTAACTCTATTTTTGTATTCAATTTCTTTCCCAGTGAACTACAAGCCACGAGCAGGCATTCAACAGCTATTCCCTTTACCAATTTAGCTCTTTTCTTTTTTTGCTCTGTTTCTTCATCAAATACCTCACTTACAAAACCCCATGGGTTACTATGCTCAGAAATCATCTCACTATTCCTCAGATGTTCTAATCCTCCTTCATGTTCCTGAATATATTTCCTGGCAAAGTTTTCTAAAGCCAGACTGCGGGCAACTCCAACAGACTCTACTCTTGCCCTTGCTTCACTCTTAACACTCTTAATACGAAATAGAGAACTTGTTTTAACTTTACAACTTTACTAGCTTATTCAATAAACTAGAATAAATACTCTGTTGCTTTTCTCTGAAACTGAAGGCGTCCCTTCACCAGAACAACAGGAAATAACACCCCATCCGGTTTTTTACACTTCAATAAATCCCAAGTAAATCAAATAGAGGGACGGGGGTACGTTCCTTCCCTTCCCTCAATGGATTGTAGTAAATCGAGAGGTCTTTTCCCAGTTGGGACCTGCCAAATACTGTGGAATACTGAGCAGACGGATCAGAGGTGCAGTCCGGGAGAGTTAAGGGGACTGAGATAAGGTATCTTTGAACTGTTCAAATTCTGACTTATTGTGGCCTTTCTAGCAGCGATTAATACCTTGCTCTGTCAAATCCCCCACCACCACTAGTGTGGGTCATCGGATCCAATGCCACTGCTAATATCTTATCACTACCATTCGTTATAACTTCAACCTTTACAAAACCCCTTAAACGCACGGATCACTTTAAATAATATCACTTTAGTCAAAAACTCTATTACTTTATCCTGCAGTATTCTATTTAAAAAAACCTTAAAATCAAACTTCTAATTCAAAACCACAAATACTTCTAAGTCAAACCACAAAAATGGGAATACTGGGATTGCTGCCAAGCCGCAGTCACAGGAAATTAGGTTTCTGTTATTCTTGAGAGAGAGGGCGAGGCACACAGTTTGTAAGTCTCTGTAATTTTAACCATTTACTTATGCCTCAGGGGAGATTTCTTAAGGGTCTAAGGATGCCTGGAATCCCTGAAAATTCCTGTTTCACACTCCTCAAATCTCCTGCCTGGCTTGCCAGCCTGTAGCCTGATTTGGGGTGTGTTAGTAATGTTGATTTAATTTATTAACTTAATTTAATTGTATTCCATTTTAATTAATTAGTAATATTAATAATAATTATTATGCATATTAATTAGTATGGGTTTATGCTCGCCAATTTGTTTGATCAGAAGATGAAAGTTCGTCCTGAATCAGGCTTCACAGAGTTTATAAAAGGACCTTCGGGGGTATGACTGGAAGCTCACACTGAGACAGATATAGTCATAAAGGCCTTTTATTAAAATCAATAAATAGTAAGTAAATGGTAAAACAGTCAGAATTACAGAGTTACAATTGTATTACTGCTATTCAAGAGATACATATGATAATACAATATTATGTATTATACAATATATGTATTATACAATATACATATAATACAATATTATGTGCTGTGTCGGAGAATAACAGAGTTCTCACTTTTTGTTTGGATACAGCAAGTCAGATACTTTATTTTCTCTAACAATTGCTTAGAGGCAGAGAGCTAAACAGGTCTCTCTACAGGTAAACAATTACAGCAAACCTTTATACCTTTCATTACAGACAATAATAAGCAACAGCTGCATTTTGTTTATACATAGGCCATCTTGATATCTTATTTTTCTCATTTGCTTTGACTCTAGTCTACATACAATATTTTCTACACATTATCTCACATAGTTCTCTCCCACTCGCCTCACACAATCCTCGCTTCTACAAATCTCGCGTTATTAGGGTTACAATTAGCCTGACTCTTGCTAACGAACTCTCATGCATTGCAATCCCCTTCCTGTCAGTTCTTTCTCTGCTTCCACAGCTGCAAACGTTGATTAATACTTACAGTCTCTTTTAATAACCTGGTGTTGGAAGATATAGACGCGTGCAGAGGAAACGAATGTGAAAAGCTGTTTACTCTCCAACTTAATTCAATAAGCCTTAAACTGAAATAAAGCGTAGGAAATCCAAGCTTAGCCTAGTCCCCTTAAAGTTTGAAAAGAAATAAAATATGGCCTATTAATAGTTAATAGCCATCGTAGATGGGGAGCATCGATTCGTTGTTGAAGATGGAGACATTGAAGAGTAGATAGGTGGATAGATTGCATCTAAAATGGTGAGATGAATCTCCTTTTTATAGGGCAAATGCCGGAAATCCTTCCTCTTATGCCCAAATTTCATCCTTCCCCACAGAAATGTTAGGGTACATTTACCCCAAAGGCTAGTATGTATGTGCCTATGGATGACAGGTATGTATACACTTGTGGTGTACTTGTTAAGCCTGTGGGTACAATTTTGAAAAATCCCCTTTGCCATCCTTCATTGTCTATCGGTTTATGTAAAGGTCTCTAGACATTTGCGTGGGTGTTTTATCTATTTGGGTAACAAATATAGGTCATCTTTACTTTTCTGGGTAAACGGTCCCAAAATATGCTAACTTTGGCTTAGCTTAATATACAGGGTTTTGGCCTGTAGGTCTCTTGCCTATTTTTAATATAAATCTATAAACCTATTACACCAAATACTAAAATTCATAAGAAAAGATCTATCTATGCAAGCAAGCAGATTAATCCTTAGGGTTACAGGACCTAGCAACCCTCAGCAGCGTCCAGCTGGGTCTGACCCTGTCCAGGTAGCTCAGGCCCCTCTTTGTCCCCAGTCCAGAAGCGACCTCCTTCCAGCCGAGCTCACCCACCAGCGCCGCCTCTACCCTTTGTCTTTGTTCCTGGGCAAACAGGTCACCTGAGTCCCCTCTCTTCTGTGCTTTGTTCCCTGACTGGCCAGAACCGGCTGCCTTCCTGGGTCCTCTCTCCTCTGTTCTTTGTCCTCCCACAGGCCTGAACTGGCTGGCTCCCAAGATGGGCTGGGTCTCCGGCTCACCGGTTGCTAAGTTCTACAGTGTCCAGGCCAATGTCCAGAGTCCAGGCTGTTAGATGAGATCACACCTGGCCCTCTGCAAACACAACTCCCCTCTCCCACCACCTCGTTACACATGCATCACACAGGGAAACTGAGGCACAGACAATATTCATGCAAATCACTAACAAAATCCCCCACTTCG